TTATTGATTATTTCTCCAAGAACCCCAACACTGAATTACCAGATGATCAAGAAGGCTCTAATATCGATTCCGAAGAGAAGATTTCAGATGATCAAACAGATGCATCAGAGGCAGTTTCAGCTGAGTCACATCTTCCTGTATTTTATGACTTTAATTCTTCAAGTAAGACGAGTCCAGGCAATACCTCCAAAACTGAGGTGAGTACATTATCCACAATTTCTTCCAGTAAGGTAGGATTATCTAACAAATCCAGACTTCCGATTTCTATTTTACCTAATGATCTAGAAGAAAAACGAAAACATATCATTGGATTGGTGTTAGAGTGTTTTCCTTCTTTATCTTTAAGAGATAGTAGTGAACGTTGTGAGTGGTTTAATCTTGATAGTTCAACACTCTGTCCCTTATGTAATGGAGACCATAAAGAAGAGAGTTTATGGAATGATATAAAAGGTGAATGGGGTGCTGGTGACTATTGCGGAGAACGAACTTATCGTATCAAATGCAAGGATTCTCTTAATCGTGGAACCCCAATAGTATCTGTAAAAGCATAGATGAAAACTTCGTCATCTCTTATGTTGAGGATTCCTTCAATAACAACGAAGATGATGATAATGATGGTGGAGGGTATGTGGTTTTTCTGATGATGATGAAGGTTATTACTAAAATTTAAATACCGACGAAACTTATAGAAAATCAGATCGTTCAATCTACGCATATTAAGCCAGGATCATTTTTTTCACATCGACACTTTTCTACCTGTGTCTCCACTAATTAATAATTGCAAATTACACTGTAAAAGATCGTGTAAAAATAAAAAATTGGGAGCCCAGCAGACCCCTCCCTTTATTATAAAAAATTATATTGCCGGAACGACAATATACAAATAAAAAAAATATATATCGCTGTTACATAATGCGAATAAAAAAAATATTTCTATGGAATTATAATAAAGATTGTTCTTTCAAATTCTTTAGGAGTAAAATTTCTAGAAAATCTTTCTTCTAGTTGTAAATTTTGAATATTAGCAATACGACTAACGGGTATTTAATTGATTCTCAATTTTACTTTTAACCATTTCAAACGTATTGCTCTACTTAATATTTATTGTACGTATACTTGGATCGAGGGTGACTTGAAACTTGGTTTCAAAATTATCAGGAACTTCAGTAGCCATTTTTTCTAAATATAAAATTTTAATAAGCTTCACTTTCATAGTTTTTGCTATAAATATTACAACCTCATATAAAATATTACCTTGGAACTAAATTGCAGGTAATTTTTTTTCAAAAAATATATATGAGCAAAAAATAACGTTATTGCTAACTTATCTTATAGGCAGGGACTTGCTTATTTTTATACCGTCTATTCACTAGATCTAAAAAACTTGAAAAAAAAGTTACATGATTAGTAATTGTGTTACCCAAATCCAACGCTAGTTTTTTCTCTATAAAGGAAGTCTATTTGGCCATAAGCAATAAACATCTATGAAGTATATGTTCTCTTCTCTCTTGAATAAAAATGAATCTGATATTTTATTATCATATACTTGTTACAAACCGCTATAAGTTATTGAAATCGCTATAAATCGATAAAATCAGTGAAATTGCTACGTATATTATCACTGGACCTGCAAAATAGTTAAAACTAACTATTCTGATTTAAATCCTGCCGTATCACGGGCATTAATCAATCTACAATATAGATATAGTGATAAAATGCCAGAAATGTGGTATTCTCATATTCGTTATCCATTTAGGATATTTCTAGAAAACAACCCGAAATACTTTTCCAAGAATGGATTTATCCAAATGGTTGAAAGGGTATATATAGATTGGGAATTTAAAGCTGAGAAACGTTTATTTAATATTTATTGCATTGTATGCGACACCTTGGTGTTTATCCGTGAAAATATTATCGAATGTGCCAATCATCACTTGAATGAATGCATTGCTAAAACAGCTAAAAGGCATTTTGCACATTCTAATCCTATTCAGAAAAAAGGAGGAAGAAACGTGTTATCGCTTAGTTCTGATGAGGTTGATGAGATTTTTATGAACTATTCTATATATCCACAGCATAGTTATCATATATATAATATAGAGAATGAATTTAGGGAGAAAATTGCTTATTCCTTATTTAATGGTGCAAAAATTATCCAACGGGCTTGGAGAGCTTTCAAGTTGAGACCCGAAACATGGGCAAAATAGGTTTGGAATATGGTAAAGAATGATGACACCCTAATGAGAAAAAGTTTTTAGATATAAATATTCATATTAAAAAAGCTTCTAGTTATCATACATCAACTAAGGTAGATAAGAAGAAAGATCACCTACATGAACGATTAGGTCTTGTATCATATATAATTGCTTTAATAGTATTATATCGGCAAGGCTATAGAATCGTTGAATATTCAGAATAGACTTATATGTTAAAGTGGCTATCGAATTCTGAATATTACTGTATTAATAAATCTGGTAATGAAAGAATTGTTAAAAGATTAAAGTATATGCGTTACATGTGTAAAACGCATAGCAAATCATATCTATGCGATTCACTAAAAATTAACTATTTCGAAACTAAATATCTTTATATCCTAGAAGAAGAAATTAACATAGATTTCTCAGATTCGAACAATAATTGTAAGTATGTACGCCGAATTTTCCAGACCATAGATTCGATATCAAAATAGATATTACATATTTATTATAATAATTTATTTTTTTATAGTTGTCCACCGTCGATGTGAAATAAAAATCTATGAAGTGTATATTTACTTATGATTTTCTTATCTATGGTCAGTAATATAATTAAGCGCTTTGAAAGTTTGTGAACAAACAAATCATCTTGGCTCTGGTGCTTTGATCTACAATTAAACTAATTCTATTCATTAGGTAAGGCACTTTTTTTCTTGCGCTTCTGCCTCGCCTCTATCTCTTTCTGCAGGTTTAATAGAGTATCAAACCTTAGTTGAATTGCGAGAGGATCATCCTCTGACCTGCTGAGATCAAATACAACAAATTCATCTTTGCGGAAGTAGCTGTTAATAACCATAGATGCACCCTTTACATCATCAGTATATCGGCCAGCTATCTTGGAGACATCTTGATAACTGCTTTCCCCATTATGTATTACTAAAAGAGAGATGTTTTCACAAATAATAATTGATACATGATGATACTTCTGAGTAATATAGCATAGAGAAATATTTCGATGACGTCTATGTGTAAAAATGGAATTATTCGATTTTGGATAGATTCAGGAGCAATACATACATCCTCAAAAATGATTACAGTGCTTCTCTTAGGTGAAAATGATTTTACGCTAGGGATTTTTTCAGGTGAGATATAACTGAACGTAATATTTTCATAATATGGCACTTTGGGATCGCTTGCAATTAGTCCATACATATATCTAACAAATACCCATTTAGGTTCATCTGAGTGGTATCCACAAACTATCAAATTATCACATCTAATATATCTGGATTCTTCTCTTTGTCTTTTATATATATGTTCACATTTATCTCCAAGAACAAGGTTTGCTAATAAATTGGTCTTACCTGTACCACTTCTTCCACTAACTATCATGCTGAAAGGCCATGACATTGCTAAATATCCAATATTTTGGGATGATTCGTGCTTTGTGGTCTCATCCATATCCATAAGGTAGAGTTTCATAGGTGGTAGTTCTTTTTTTTGGTTCTTTTGTATGACGGATTGGGAATCCATAACTCTGATTTCTATCTCAGGGTATTTTATAATTCAGAATATTTTTTTTTTATTGGGGAGTGAAATAAAAGAATATATATAAGAGGATATGCGCCATAGGAAGTATATGATTAGTAATATCATTATTATGATGAAGACCGCATTCTGCTAAAAGAAGGAATTGGGTGATACTGAGGTTGTTTCAGGCCTAGTGATGCTGTTACCTTTCTCTAGTCCACTAACATCTCCAATCACCCCATTGGTCTCGCTGAATGCTTTCAAAATCTGCTCTGCTAAACAAGCATTAGCTTCTTGAAGGAGGAAATCTTTTTCTGATAATGCTTTTTGTGCTGAAACTAAATTATCCTTTATCTGTGTCAATTCATCTCTTTCTCTAGACAGAGTTTTTTTTAAGTTCAATTTTGTTAAAAATAGGTTAGTATTTTCTAGTTCAGATTCATTCTTGAGAGATTCTATTTCTGATAACTCATCCTGTGCTAAAGAAAGATTCTGCTTCAATTATTTTACTCTTAATCAAAGAGCCTGTATCTTTTCCAATTTTTCAGTGATCTCGCTTTTAGCACTTGTAAGAGAAATATTTTTGTAAGTAATCTGATTTTTGAGTTCTTTCGCCTCATTTTCAAGCTGGCATACACACTCTGAAAAGCTCTCATTGTTTTTTATCAAGAGATTGCATCTAGTACCAAGCTGAATACCCGAGCTTAAAGCAATATCGAGATCACGCTTTGTACAAGTAAGTTGGTTCTCAAATTCTGTTCAGCTGGACAGATATCGATTAGATGGCGAATCTCCAAGTTTATTGCCAGATACTAGAGCTACCTCACCATTTATCTCATTTAGCGTATGTATATTTGCCATATAAATTTACACCTTTGTTCTCATAAATTCGAAAAAAGAAATTTTAGTAATTAATTCAAAGTTCATCTACTTTCTGCCCTTTTTTCGTTCCATTATTTCATTCGAAAAAAGATAATTTAGAAGAAAATAAAATATATAGTTATTTTTATTTTTTTGGCAAAAGTTGTTGATATAAATCATTTATATGCATGTTTTTTCCTTCGAATATAGAGAAAGAAAATCAGAATCAAATCAATATCAAACAAATAATAAACCAGTTTGAGACAAATATGATATCTAAACTATATATATCTCAAACCTATTTTTATTTGGATCATGGTTATAGCAAGCTATGTAATAAAGGAAGCGAATTTCCTATATATATTAATCTAATATTAGACCAATATCAGACCAATTCCAAATAGATTGCGAATAAATTTTTTACAAGTTTTTTATTGGTATTATACAAATTTATTATTAACAAATTACGAGTAAAAAACTATTAACCCGTATTCGTAAATTTTTTAGATCAGATGCCACTCGCTTGTCACCCGAAGCTATTGAAGAAATCAGAAATGCTCAGAATAATATTTCAGATGCTCGACGTATTATGTGTAAAAAATATTATATAGGGGCAATAACATATCAAAAAATCATTGATAATCAGAGGCCTCCTAAACTGACTAAGAAATGGTGTAGAATCATAGAATCTGTTAGTGTCTCTAATCAGATTTCAGAAAATAACCAGAAATCTTTATAGCTGGTAAGTGCTGAGTATGATAGCTCCCCTGCTAATATACAAAAAGATAAGGTTATTCATATAGAGCATCCTCGAGATGACGCAAATTCTCATATAAGGCTGAATACAGTAACTAGCGAATGAAAAGATAAGGTTAGTCGAAAAAAAAAGATTAGTATGGAGGCAGAAGGTGAATCTTCTCTAGTGGAAAAAAACAGAATAGTCAATTCTTTTAAAAATGATACATCTAGATGGGAATCTGATCTTAATAAATTATTAAATATTACTAGAAACATTATTACGTATCTGATCTTTTCTCTATAAGCTTAGAGCACCTTTCTACTAAAATTTTACTTGTATTTAATGCCAAGTCAAGCCATTTCTCAGTTTTCAAGAGGTGCTTTTCAAGATTTTTGCATTTTTTTTAAAGTCTTCACTAGTTGGGTTAGAAGAATTAGCAGAAATCTGAAATGATGATTCTTGCTCCTCTTTTGGCAGATCTTTAGCTATTGAGGCCTTGCTATAAGTTGGAATAACATAGGTCTTTCTATGTAACTTTATGCAGAACTAGTTTTTATTTGGCTCAGAAACACCTTGGAGCTTTCAAATATTTGATATGCCTAAAAATAGCATTGGTTCAGGTTCACCATTATCTATATGTACAAAATTTCTAATGACCATGACTATCTTTTCCTCTTTGTCCTTCATAGTAACCAGCACATCTGTGTACTATCCTAATGAATCAATAATATGTTTGGAATTGCTCTTTATAGCAAAATCAGATGGCTCATCAATCTTCCATTCAAGTATGTGAATCGCTGGATCATTTATTTCACCGAATTCACTTCCAGTATCTAAAAAAGAAT